CTCCTAATTAGATAGTATATGTAGAAGCAAGAGTGAAGTTTTTTTCACTCTTGTCAATGTTGTTGTATTATAATACAACAATATGATGAAAATATAATCAAAAATAAATTTCTAATTAATATTTAATCATCTTGATTCAATGATAATTCAACACATTTAAACATAGCTTTTATAAAAGCCTCTTAGTTTATTTTCTTATCTTAATAGCTATAAGATTAAAGGTTAGTTAATAATTTTACCTTCTAGGCTATAAAAATTCTTTTACTGCTTTAAAGAGGCCATAAATTAATATGTGTATCTAGTTTGTATAATTATTATTACATTCATTGTTTAAAATTTGATAATGCTTGGTTGATTGAATGTGCTAAGTATGCATAAAATTTTGTATTAATTTAACATTGTAGTTGGAAGATATCTAATTTTTAGTATAAGAAGGTATTAGAAGTTGGTAGTTTAAAGTTCAATAAAAAATTTAGGATATCTAAAGATCTATTAGTCAAAAAAATGTAAAATTTTGCATAGTATTAGAAGACTTAAAGATCAAGATATCCACTAATTTTGAGCTAAATATAATAATTAGAGAAGGAGAAACTGCCACTGGAACATTTGCATCAACTTTTGAGTTGGCAGCAAAGTAACATCAATGCGATTTTTGGACATTTTCTCACAATCTATAAGTTGGATTGTGCTGAATTTTTCTAAGCATGTAGAAGACTTATAGTGCAATTTGTGTGCAAATTTATATCAAGTAGACAATCACATTAGAAGTTACAACTTTCCAAAGTTCATTGACCAGGATTAGGGCTTGCAAAGAAAAATCAAAATTACCTAATTATAAAAGTAATGAAGTAATTGGAGTTTATATATAATTGAGGTTACTAAAAAGAGTGTTTTTGAGAATTTTGTATTGGATTTAAGCACTTATAAATTGAAATTCAAATTACATTCTTCTTATATAGATGAAACCTATTAGAGTTTCTTAAATACTTGTAAAATACAACTTTACCTTCTACATCCACATACGTGATGCATTTTCAAACAATATAATATAACAATGAATTCTTTAAGAACTTTTTTTGAAATTTTTTCAACTTTAATATCAAAAATTAATATGTAAGCTATTAATTTATCTTTTTTGTTTGATTCTTATGTTTATTTTTTAATATTTTTGTATATCTTTTTATCTATTAATTAATAATAAGAATCCAAAATTTGAAGAAAATTAAATCTACGGATTAGGAAAAAAAAACTCTTAATTTGCTTGAGTGTTGGTTGTCTTATTTATTTATTTATAATCTTGATATTAAACTTTAAGTGTCAATAGCTCATTTTTTTTACTATTTTTTAAAAAATATTTTCATAGATATTAAAAAAAAGTCAATTATTAATTTATAAAAAGTAATCTCACAAAAAATAGGTATCAATCAACGGATTGTTTAGGTGATTTTTGTTGAAAGCTATATTTTATTTTTATCTAAATATTTTTTTAATATTATTTTTTTAATCTATTAATTTTTATCTTTTTATAGCCTTATAAGTAATTAAAAATATTTTCATTAAAAAATAATAATTAAATATTTTATTGCATCTCTATTTTTACCTACTTTTTTTAAAAGTAATTTACTATTATATTTTTTAATGAAGTTCTTTTATAATGTGTTTCCTTTTCTTCTCTTTTATATAATAGCTTCCTTATAATACAACCTCTTCCTCCTTTGAAATCTTGCTAAGGATCTTCACATACTTTAAGTAGTTATCAATGTAAAGTTACCTAATTTTTTTGGCAATAATATTAAGCTTGAGCAACTTGATATGTTCAAGGTGGTCAAAGATGTGAGATTGCCTAATTTATTTGGAAATGATAGCAACCTATAATAACCATACATATTTAGATTTTTTAAAGAATTCAAAGTTTTGATTGATTTTAGTAATGTTTTTAGTTCCTTACTATTTTTTAAATTGAATTGTTTTAATCATATCAAGTGTTTTATTATATTTGATAATATGTCCAAATTTGAACATGCTTTTTAAAACAAGCTCTAATGGTGTTGTCATTTAAAGAATAGCTTGAAAAATATTTTTATAATAATACAATGTTTCAATTGTAAGACATTCAAGGTCTTAAATTTCTTCCAAACATCTTTGATATTTAGAATATAACTTTCTTTGGCTAATTCATCTGAATTTTCATAGTATGTAAATTATAAATTAAAAATATATATTAAAATTTAAGAGATATTTTTTTAAATAAAGAGTATAAAATTTAAATACATTTTGGTATATTACAAAATATATTTAGTTAGTTTTAAAATTTATACTTTATATTATATAAATATGCATATATTTAAATATTTATTTATTTAAAAATATATGTATGTATGTATATATATATATATATATATATATTCAAAATGAATGAGTTATTCAGTTCTTAAAACTTTACAAAATAGAAACGTGAAATAACATATATTTCATATAATATTTCTGAAGAAAAACAAGTTCAGTAAATAATATATGTGATCTAATACAAACTCTTATATCTAAATAATATAAAAACTTGGATTTCAATCAATCAAATTGTCGTCCTATAAATATGCTTATCCTCAATAAGATTTATAAACAAAGAGGATTTGTTAATTTTTTTGGTATAAATGATTACAAGATATATATCACACTAGTTTATATGCTAATTGTAAGATATGCCTCAACTATTGTCTTGCTTGAGAGTAAGGTACACAAATTGAAATAACATGGATTTGTGCACAAGAGCCCAAATACTAAAAAAATAGGAATTCAAAACAGATTGAGCTAAATTTATATTTATTGAAAATTAATTATAATTTTAAAAAAATATGATATTCAAAATGAAATAATATATATTTTCTTTTTAAAATATATATAATTAGATATAGATAAGATTTTAAAAAGAAAAAAAATGATAGATTTCTACATTGTCATCTCTTGCTACACAATGCTTACAAGTACATAACCTTGTTCTTTTAAAATATTCATCTTGTCACAACATATCACCTGCATTCAAATTGCTTGATCTGAAGGAAAATATTTTTTGTGCTTTAAAAATATACTACTTATGCCTTTATTAACATTTTGATTTATTATTAAGTCTAATATAAAAAAATATAAAAAATAAAAAATAAAAAATTAACTTCTCTGATTTAAAAACTAAACACTCGAACTTCAATTGACCTTATCAAATGTCAAAGAATATAAGTTATTTAAGTGCATATGGAATAACAAAAATACCAATTGACTTCTAATAATTTTTCATATATTTTTAAACAAGCTAATGATTGTAAGATTATAAGATGAAATACATCAACATTCAAAAATATTTTTCACAAGAAAAAAAGGAGAAGAATGTAATGCCTTGTTGAACTTACTTAGTCACTATTTCATTAGTGTGAATGATTTTTTTTTTTTTTTTTTTTCTGTATATATTTATGTGTATTTACACTCTACAATATATTGTTAGAAGTTTGTTCAACTTTGCACCATCACAAAAACATGAGTTCTCATCAAAGATTGATACCGTAGCAAAGTTATTCTTGTTAGTCATCAATGAAATGTTGCAATTACTATCTCGTATATAAAAAATAAAAATAAAAACTTAGGGGGATAAACCAATGGGATAAACAAGAGAAATAAACCATCTCTAATTGGCTGCATGTTTCATCGTTTTCATCAAAAGTGAAGCAAAAGTGAAGCAATAACTCAACTTCTGATCAATCAAAGATCAAAATCAATATGCTATTGATGCAAATTGCCAATAGTATCATTGCAAGATCACAAGGCATGGAGCTCAAAAGCACCACAACATGGAACAATATGCAACATGGAGTTTCATGTCATATGAAGCTTCAAACAAAAGGTTAATTTACAATGTTTTTTTTCTAGTCAATGGCAGAGGTTTCTACTAGTAAATATATATGTATATATATATTTGATTTCCAAAAAAGATAAACTTTGCACAACAGGACACCAGTCTGGAAGCTTCCAGCAGCCACTTTAAGAAAGAGTTGCCACATAGTCGGCTGGCTGATTGAAATCCAGGATTACAATCAGATGCTGACGTGGAAATTATTGCCACATCATTAATTGCACATGGGTCTATTGTGTCCATCGCCAGCTTCCAACTGCTCTCTGAGTGCATGGGTCCACGGAGGAAGACGCCAAGGCACATGTGGCCATGCGCCGTTGCTGATATGGAGGGTGAGCTGGGAATCTCACTCACTGAATTATTGCAGGGAAAGATGCACAAGCATAATGAAAAGCGTGTGTGTGCAAGTAAAGAATGAGTTTTCCATTCTGATAATTCTTATCATGTGCTTTGGATTTCTTTTCATTAAATATTAATCATAGATTTGGTTTTTCATAATTTTTCTGCTGTAAAACGACTCTTGATACCTAGACTACAATTTTCACCAGTGGGTTACATGGCAACTCATCAAGACTATTGTATATGGGATCTGTGTGGATGCCCACCACCACTCCATATATATTTTTAGATTTTTTATTTCAATAAAAATTAATTGTTGAAATTTCTAACATTTTTTCTAACATATTTATATTATATAATATAAACTAATATTAAATTAGAGATAAGACTATTAAACAAAATATCAATTGAGTAGCAGATTGTGGTGGCAATACCAAAAACATTCTAATTTACAATACCCTTTTTCTAAACCCTCTGATTGGATTGTAGATTTTTTTCATTTGTTTAAAGAAAAAAAATAAAAGAGTGCAAATGATTTTCTTAGGAGACATTAAATTTTTGGAATAAAAATAAAGAAATTTAAAAAAACACTTTTGAATGGCAATAAATTTGCACGAAATTGCAGGAGATTTGCATGAATTTCTTTTGAAAAGTTTTTTAGAGCAAAAAGAAAAGAAAAGATAGGGTGCCTAGTCCCCTACCGCTACTCAGTTTCGCGGGTCCATAAATGACGGTTACGACCACGTTGATGGCCACGCAGAGGTGATGCTTTGCGACAGCTACTATGTGCTACTATTAAAATGATTTCAACAGCGTTGCTATCTCATTGTGAGGTCATTGACAGAGGATCCTTCTGCTTGCCTATTTCAATTTGCATCGCTTTCGTAACGGGCAAGCCGATACAATCTACTTCGAGCGGCAGTGCAATCTGCTCAGTGAGGCTATGTGATCAACGTCTCAGTCCGAAGACATTGATTTACATTCAATCTTAGTCGGAAGCTACGCAATTTGTATTTTCGACATTGAATTTGAATGTTCACTGCAGTAGAACTGGTCCGGGATCGCCTTCTTGGATGTCCAACAAGGTACAGCAGTGGAATTCTTCACAATGACCTCGACTGTTCACAACAGTGGAAATGATGCCGGAGTGCATTGTTCACTGTCAACGGCAATTGAATGAGTGTTGAAATGCAAACTTGCAGTAGGAAACTGAAGCGTGTAAGTTACCTGCATCAAGGGTCCACATAGCACATGCCACCAGGTATCATACTAACTCTGCACTCGTTATTACATCAGGCACCAATTCACATCTTAAGGGAATCCATGGAAAATGTGCAGCTGCAGTTTGTGCATGAGGAGTTGAAGCACATCACCAAGGGCACAGTACAAAATGTAAACAGAGTGCAGTGTGCATTTTACTATGTGGGTTCATTCTCTTAATTCCAGAGCAGAGATAAAAGTAAATTATAGGACTACACACATCTTTAGGGAACCTTTGGATGCAGCTGGGAGCTGGGGGATAACTCTGCTACTGTCCAAGGCTGCAGACAAGTTTGCTGTGGCTTGCAGTTAGAGAGAAGGAATGAATTCACATTCATATTTTAAGTATCTACAGTATACTTTGAAACATCATGTGCTTGCCTTTTGTCTCACATGCAAGGACATCCATCCAATGCACAAGAATTGTAAAAGATCCCTTATCTTTTGCCCTCCAAAATAGTATCCATAGTGTGATTTGTTCACTTGCATATTACTTTTAGTATGCTAAAGATGCTATCTTTTGATCAACAAAGAGCATGTTATCTAAATGTTGGATCAGTTCTTGCATTAAATAAGTTATGGTTTGAGATTGTTTAGTTTATATTTGTAAAATCATTTTAGAATTAAAGCACTGAAGTGATGACTATCACATAAGTATTTTAACACTTTCAGACACTAGTAATTTAGTCTAGTATGTATTATTTGCTACTTGAAAAAAATATGTAAAAATTGCATGGTGTAATGTATTTTTATAATGTAATAGATTTTTATATATGCAATGATATATATATATATATATATATATTCAAAATTATACAGAGTAATTTATTTTCATAATGTAATATATGAAGCAATAAGTATTATACACCAATAGGTAACCTGTAGTTTGATTAGTTGGATAATTCTATTATTATAAATATTATTATTTCATTGTTAATTTATTGAATCTTTTTATGCGAGTTTAATGATGTAGAAAAATAAATTGAACCTAAATTCTTAGAAATTAGTAAATTGATTTTCAATATTGAACGATCTAGGATCTATGATAAAATAAAACAGAATAAGATAATAAAGGTCCAATAAATTATTGTCACAATCAAAAATAACAAATGCAACTAAGATTCTATGGTTTACTGATAGATAAAAAAAAAACAAAACCAAATCAAAACTTGCATTAGGAATTAACTTTTTAAAATAAAATAAAATAAAATCAGATAGAAAAGAAAAGAAAAAATAGATACTATGAATACATATATATATATATATATATATATCTGTACAACCAAAAGACCTAGGTCTTGAATTTAGACTAAAATGTATGTATATATATATATATATATATATATATATAATACAATATATTGGAGTCAATTAAAATATAATACTATTAAAAATAATTTATATAAAATATATTTCAAATTTTGGTTTAATTTGAATTTAATATTATTTTAAAATATACAAAACAATCAAAACAACTTAATAATAGAAACTTTTGACCAATTATATTACACGTTTTATTCTAAGAATTATTCAAAATAATATTATTTAAAAACAAAAATAATTATTTTATTTAATGTTTACAGTAATGCACGTATAAATAAAAATGTGTGTGTATATATAAATATATCCATACACACAAAATTATGGTTTTTATAGTATAATTTTTTATTTTATAATAATATAATTATATCTTGTATTTTAGGTTGATTGATTTGTAAATACAATGTATGAGGTATCAGCCATACCAATTTTATATTGAAAATTTCTGAGTGTTTTAATTTTAGAAGCTAAGACTTTTTGGTTTGTGAAAGACAAGTCCTTTGCTAGATATATTTATATATATGATATATAAATAATAATTCTAGTGGTGATTTATGTCACAATTGTAGTTTTAATTCAATAAAAATTAACAATTTTTACCTCATATGTTCCATTATCATATTGTCTACAATGATATAAAGCAATTGCCAATTAAAATATGATTGATGTTTGCTCAATAATATTATGAGAATTAGAATAATTTCAATTTATAATGACGTTTTACTGCCGACAGATGGCAAATTAATATATAACATTGTTGTTTCAAATCTCAGCTTTGAAATCTCTTACTTTGTTGAATAGATGTTGGTACAAAACAAGACCATAGAATTTAATTGGTATCTAGTATTGAAAAATAAAAGTAAAAAATAAAAATCCATATGATTGCCTATATCAATGAATGAATATATATATATATATATATATATACTTGTGTGATTGCCCTAAAATATATATATTTATTTTTTCAAAACCCTAAACCCCTCTTGCCAATATTGCCTGGCATTGAGCTGCGCACAAAAGTTGAGATAGCTACCCATCTCTAATGACACTCATAGATGAGACGCGTATAAAGTAAAAAGATAAGAGTGCGAGCTAGGTACATGTTCTGCAAAATCTCATGACTCTGTAATAATCCAAAGAAAATTAAAGAAAACAGAAGTTGTTGGGGAAGTGATTCTAGCCACCAACTCCAACTCTTCAACTGGGTCTGTGGACGACTGATATGCACAGCTTGTTACCCTTTCAGACCTCTGTCTTTCCTTCCTTCAGGGATGTTGCTCTTGCGGTGAAAGCAATCAATGAGACATCCACTGATTTCTACTGCATTTTCTCGCAGTGAGTTGACCAAGTACATTCTCATGGCAGGACTTGCATGCGAGGAGGAGCTTTGCTCTCATTGCCCTCTCCACGGTCGATCAGCTTGTGGCCTCCAAGGTGGACTGGATGAGGTCACTGGATTCCATATAACTCATGGCCTATACAAACCGACTGTCAGAAGCCCCAAGTTGATCGAAACACGTGTGTGATCCAGCATTTCCCCTATAGAAAAATCGTCAACCACCAACATATATAATAGATTATTCCCTAATGATTAGAATAGAAGTGCTTCCGCAGCCATGCAATGCTCTCCTCATCAATGCAGACGTGATTGAGTTGGGAACCTATTATTTCTGGAGTGGATCACCTCTTCAGGAGTTCAACAAGCGCCAAGTGACATACGGTATTGCAATCGAAAATTTTCCAGCTAAAATTTAGTCACCTTGCACTTACAGACTGCATCATTTGAAATCGGTTTGTCCGTTCAATTGTTGTTTGCAATTGGTGGTATCTCAGTGTAGGCTTCAATAGATCATGCAAAAACACCAAACGTTTGAGAACTTTCGAGGGGCTCCACATCGGTTGTCAAGCAGTAAAAACATCCTGGAGGTTGTGAAGTTGAACAACGTTTGAAGTAGTTTTCTAATGCAAATTTCATAACAAATTTGAGCCTGCTCGAGTCTGCGAATGGAGCATCGATATGTAACCAACTCTATCAATAATAGAATGATTTGGAAACTACTGCAGCGTTGTTGGATTCATAAATGATAGCCAAACCTATCTAGTTGTTCCCAATTGACAGACACCACCCCCATTCAATCAGCCAACCCTTCATCATCAGGCAATCCTAGACCAAGGAGAATAGAACACTCATGTCTTCAGTTACCACCACCAGGTAATGATGGTGCCGGGGCTTGAATCAGAAGTTCAATATATAAAGGCTATGAGCTTGAAAGGTAAATAGCAGCGTTGTGATGTAGACGAAACGAACTTCATAACTGCGGTGCGTCATGATCTGGACAAACGAGTTACCGAATTCCATTAAGACACAGATAGATTTAACATTTCTTGTTTAATCTATCGAGCTCGCTGTTCACAGCAACCACTCAGATACACGCACCTACCCACAAGGAAAGAAGTGTTCTGTTGTTGACTGCAGTTAACTGCTGAAGTGGCGTGTCACGCAAAGTATCGTAACTGCCTGCGAAGAGGATCGTCTCGTCGTGCTGACAAGTTTGCCAGTTTTTTACATCCAGATTGTACAGTCCGTGCAATTAATCCATTAGTTCTGAAATGCCATAGATTACTTCGAAACTCAGATTTTAGAATCTGATATGCGTAAAGACAAGTTTTGAACTTTCACCACCTCCAATGTTCGACAACTGGAGTTGTTACTCGGAAAATGAGTCGTCAAAATGTACACGAGCCAAATGATAGGCAGATTATAAAATGGTGAGCTGGCCAGCGTCGTCGGCATCGGCTTTCTGTGCGAACATCGTCAGCACCAACGACGCAGCTGGTGGGCCAGAAGAGGAGCTGCAATCAGTCCTGGTGCTCATAAGTTTGAGCTGGTGAGTGACTGCCACTATGTAGCTCATTCTCTGCGGTATCTCAGTTCAACTTTCTAACTCGTGGGTAGATAGATGCCAATTTATTTCTAGAGGTCTGTCGATTCGTTTTAGCACCGGACTGTCTGAGCGACTATCATTGTCCTTAACAGCACCCGCGCAGTCTCTACTGGTGCTGAATCGACGAAGCGTTTTCGTGGCCCTTGAGATACCAGACGAAATGGTCTGCATGCGATGATGTCCAAAACAAGTGCTTGATTGTAATGCGTGCACTTTCATCAACAATCTTATCTGCGATTTACTCATTTCTCTCTGCACACCGTTGTCGCAGTGTGGGTGCTCCACAAGTTTAGATTTCAGGAAATATCAAATATCTTCAAATTTCGGCAATTAAACTCAATAGCCATCTTTCCCGGTTGTGTTATTTTACAGCATTGTTATAATTTGTACAGTTCAGGGTGCGGGTTTTCGTCATCTCGAAATTTGAGCACTACCGACAGCATCCGGGAGCTGCTGTGAGCAGAGAAGCTATTGAATGGAGAGCAGACATAATTTGCTCCAGAGAAGACCCACTTTATGGACTGCGGTAGTCCTGGTGATATTGCAGCTGGCCCTTAGTTGCTGGATGTGCACTGTGGATGCGTTGCAAACGGGATACTACGCAGCGACATGTCCAAATGCTGAAGCAATCATAAGAGCGGCTATGGAGAGGGGGATGCAAGAGGATTCTGGTACTGCACCGGGTGTGCTACGGCTCCACTTCCACGATTGTTTTGTAGATGTAAGTTGTGACCATCGACAACCGGATGTCAATAGGTTTGATTATTGGGCAAATCTGAGCTCAAGTGGATGGGGAAACCTGAATTTGAGCAATGTTCTGTATAAAGTGGAAACAGAGAGTTTATTTGAAAATTTGATTTTAATGTTGAAGAATTCGCGACAAGATTCATCATAGAGCTTCGTTGTATTGGCGTGCGAAGGGATGTGACGGATCAGTCCTCCTCGACGGGCCGAGATCGGAGAAAACAGCATCGCCCAACTTGACTTTGCGAGGATACGAGGTGATTGACGCAGCTAAGGCAGACCTGGAGTTAGCATGTTCGGGAATCGTTTCATGCGCGGATATTCTTGCGTATGCTGCTCGTGACGCTGTAGTATTGGTAAGATTACGAAAGAGCTAACTAGTTCAACTCTCTGTTTCTGTTTCAGTTTTGATTACAATAGTCTGTCTCTCCACCGAACGGTATTTATACGATTCTTTTTATGTGAAAGACGGGAGGATTAGGGTGGGCAGTCGAAGCCGGCAGATTAGACGGTCGCGTTTCCGACGCCGGAAGAGCATTTGCTGAGATACCGGATCCAAGCTTCAGCTCTGCCCAACTCGCGGCGGTGTTTGCTCGCAAGGGCTTGACAACCAGTGACATGATAGTCCTATCAGGTAGCCATTCTCAGACTTTCGATCACAGATTCTCCGATTCCACCCACACCCCCTGTAACCGCATCTGAATTATCCGGATGCACAACTGAACGGCCTGCAGGTGCGCACTCCATCGGACGCGCCCACTGCGACTCCGTGAAGACTAGATTATACCCAGTTCAAGACCCCAACCTGAGGGAGCCTCTCGCGGCAGAGCTGAGATCCGGATGCCCTCAGCAAGGCGGAAGCGCGACGTTCAGCTTGGATTCAACCCCCAACCAATTCGACAACGCTTACTATATCGACGTCGTAAACGGGAGAGGCATCATGCGCTCCGATCAGGCCTTGTTCGACGACCCTTCCACCCGCACCGAAACCATGTTCAATTCCCTTGGCGCTGCTCCGTGGGCCTTCCGGTTCGGTCAAATTATGGTCAAGATGGGACAAGTCGGCGTCAAGACTGGCCCCGACGGCGAGATCCGCCGCAACTGCAGATTCGTAAACACACCGATCTAGTTGGTTCGATCCATCGTCATGTTGAATGCCCCAGTCGACGCATCTTGAAGAACACTCTCGCGGCGCCGTCGGTAGTCTAGAACCAGTTTCTAAGAATGACTTCGACTTGAATCTGTCGTTTACATGATGTTCGGCGCCGTGCAAATGGCAACATGTTTACGTGGAGTGTCATGTTTGTATTCATAAGGAGGAGTTCGATGGTGTAGAAACCATCGGAGAAATACAGTAGTGGGTGTCATTGTAAATATAGTTGTCAAAAGTCCACAATTAGACCTCACACTACTGAAAAAATGTGCAAAGCTGTTGGAAATGATTTTACAAATAAAAAATTGAGCAATATATGTGTATTTTGTCAGGAAGTTTGAAATCATTTTGTTTTGAATATCCATTGTTGGAGTAACTTATTAGTCATTTTAGAATTTTGATTTTTTTTTTTACATATTTGTTTGTGAAAAGAATTTTTTTATATCTCCAATATCATAGATTATAATTGATTATCAAATAGGTCTTTAGTTAATCGGTTACTTATGAAAAATTTAGATTACTGTAATTTAAGATTAATCATTATATAATTCTTATTCCAAATTTCTATTTCTATTTACATTTCTATTAATATTTTTGTTCTATACTCCCTAGCAGTTTTATATATTATTAGATTATATGAAAAAATTAATAGGATCCTGATTAATTAATACTCTTTCAATTTCTACTCCAAATCTATCTGAATTTAATATAGACCTGATACTGCCTAATATTATCAAATGTCTAGAAGATAAAAATTGAAGAGATATATAGAATTATTAATATTTATTGGTGAACATGATAATTCAATTCTAAAACAATGACTTACATTACAAAGTAAGTCACAATAAGCATAAAAAGATATAGTATTAGAAAAATAAATTTTATATACATGAATCTAGAATTGAAAAACCAAACAACTAATATATATATATATATATATATATATATACATACATACACAAACCAAGACAATCTTTAACATCATTGCCCACTGGAAGAATTATGTAGTCAATGATTGCAATATAAAATTTCAAAACAAAGGTACAAAAAAAATTAAACATATAATGTATTTATATGCATATGTAGTAAATATTGCATCTTTATCTATAAAACATATTCTGGGGTATACTTGAAAAAATTAATATCAATATATCATAGACTTCATACCAACTTTTATTTTTTTATTTATATTATGACAAGGTATATGTATAATTGTTTGGATTTTTTATAGTAGATAGTATTCCTATTAATTTAAACAAAAATTCAAAATGATATAATATCTACACTTTATTTATTTATTTATGTTTTTAATATGATTTTAAAAACATTTTACATAATAGTACAAGTTTTTTATGTTATATTAATAAATTGGTCACAATAGTTATAAAAAATTTAAATTTATGTACTGATCATTCAAAATATTATCATACAATGTATTATTTTTATAATAATTTATTTATATAATGTAATTCATAAATAATTATAATATTTAATAGTTTAAAAATCTTATCATAATATTTAATTGATTTTTATATTTTATCATTCTTATTGATAATATTAAAATAAGTATCATAATAATTTAAAAAATATTACACTTAATTTTTATATCTGTATTTCTAATTAGATAAATTAGATAAATAATTTATGTGTTTTAAAGAACACAAATACAAAAAAATAATTAATTTAAAATATTATAATGTCTTAAGATCAAGCTTTTTAAAACTTATGATTTTCTTTACCATACAATTCTTCTTGTTCTAATATATTACTCATATCATTATATATATTATTTTGATTTTTTACAGTAGTGGTAATATTATTTGTATTATTCCTAATTTATTATATTTTTTTAATAACTTCAATGTACATTCTTAATTTTTTTTAATTTTTTTTTACCAATAATTAAGTGTAGATAATAAGAACATATTTTGGAGATGATATAGCCTAGGCAGAATATACTTTGTATTTATATTGCATATATATAGGAAAATGTTTAAATAATCCACCCATTTACTAAATTGATCCATCTTATTGTAGAAAAATAGGGATGTTGGGATGAGAGATGGATGAGGGGGAGGGGGGGGGGGATTGGAATGAGGGCCATGATTGTAATGATGGTGTTTAGAGATGATCTATTTTTTTAATAATGGTTACAATAGGATGGAATGATTTAGTAAATAGGTGCATTTTTCTATATATATATATATATATAACTTTCAAATATTTTAGGTGATTTTTTTATCAACAAATTTAATTTAATTTTTAATAGCAAAATTATTTAACTAAAAATGCATATTAAGATATGTGACTCATCAAGATCTTCTTGCAATATTAATATATAAGATTTTAATGTAATATGTGAGAGATAATAAAGATATATTTATATAAAATTTTTGATATATAAAAATTAAATTATTCCAATTTATTTTTTTTAATTATAACTACATCTTATTTATTTTTTACTTACATCCTTTTGAAATAATAGTCTAATTTAGAAATAGATAATAATGCCAATTATTTCAAAAGTTGTCAATAATATCTCTATATATTATTTATTTACTAGTTCATGTAACTTATCTCTAAACTTTTTTCTAATGTATCCTACTTCTCTATTCATACTTACTATTTGCAATCATTTAAAGAAGAAAAGTTTTTAGAAAAAATATTTTAATAAAAAAAAGTGTATCAATATTTAAATAATGAATTAAAAAATTATTGATACATTTCATCATTGCTTTTGGAAAGATATTTCTAAATTTAACCTTATAGATGAATAAAATTCTACACATTATTATCCACCAAATCTCTTTACAAAAATTATCTATGAATTTTTCTTGGAGAAGTTATATATAGTTCATGTTAAAAAAATACATCACTTGATCTTGAGAAAAGAGGGAAGTAGAAATAGCCTAAAAATGAGCTATTTTGACATAAATGTTACAATAAAAAGGAAGAACATACGATGAAATAGAAACTTAAGAAAAGACAAACCAAAGAATAGATACTAGTAAGAAGACTTTTGCATGAGAATCTTAGAAGCTTATTTTAGATAGAAATAAAGTTTATAGTACTTTGTCATAGTAATTGACCTTTTGAATTGTATTTTTTAATATGAAGTTGGCTTACTATATATAAATATTTTTATTTTTATTTTTCTTGTAATATAGAAATTATCTATTAATTTTGTTTGAGTAATTTCTTTTGTATAAAAATGCTCAAGTTTTTTGGTTTGCAATTTCTTTAAGATAGTATTTGAAATCATTTAAAGAAATACTCAAGATCAAATCCAAAGAATATTTTTTAAATAATATTAACATGGTTTAGAGAATAGAAGATGACATGTATTTCTAATTAATTGCATAATATATTTTTTTAATTTTTTTAGATATTTACTTATACAATTCTCATAAAAAACATGTTCTTATTAAATTTTAGAGGGGTTTTATTATTATTTTTGATTATTAATACCAAATATCTTAATTTTTTTAATTTAATATTTGTATATCTATATTGTCGAAAAATACTTAATTTTTGGCTTTAATATATAAAATAAGCAATATATATATATATATATATATATATATAATTTACAAAATTACATAGACCATAGTACTAGAAAGTTGAAATTGATGTAAGTACTGAAGTTCCATTGTTTGATGCCACTACTTGCTAAATAAGATCTATTGATGATTTTGATAGATTCTAATATTTTTTTGTCTTTTATAGTTTAATAATCTATTTGTGCCTTTAGTTTTTACTTCCACAAGCCATGCAGTCATTAGATAATATTTGCCTATACAAGAGAACATATTCCTTCTCTGAACATTTGTTCTTAGATTTTAATTAGAGAATATAAGACAAAAAATATTGTGTGCATGGTAAGGATGAATCTTGAAAAATTCAAGGCCTATGATTTTCACAAGTTTTTTTCTTTAAACAAAGTACCAAAAATAATTTGCCTAAATTCTAATAATATTTATGAACATCTTGTATATTATTTTGGTAATAACAAATAAATTGTATATTTATTATGATAAAACCTACATATAAAAGGACCTTTCTTTCATACCTTTACTCAAGGTATGGTCAAATGTTACAATACCCAATTCAATGTAGATTCTTTTACAACAGCAAGTTTCGTATTTGATTACAGTGAGGAGCTAAAGAATTTATGATAGTACTCTTGCCATTTCTACAATTCTTGTTGTGACTTCAATAGTCTTAGGCAGTGACAAGCTCTCAACATTCAAAGAGCCAATTCAGAAACTTATATCATCTTTCATTAGTTGCACCTATGAAAAATCATCTCTTCTAATATTTGTTGTCACTCGATTCATACACCGCTTGTAATAAAATAAAATAAAGATTATCCAACTGTAGTTTTTTATTACAAATCGCTGTTTACATATGCTACATTATCAAGCATAACCAAGATATTGGGTTGTGCCGTGGATTCCAAACATCCAGTGGAAAGGCATTCACCGAGTCAAGTTTCTCACGTTCATACTGGCCAGCTAAGAATTTGGCCACAGATGTCGACAAGGTGACGGTGATCGAAAGGTGTAGACAGATCACGTCGAAAATGACGACGTTGCAAATTACGCTAACTACTTGATATACTTACAGATATAAACTACAGGGTTACGCTGCAAAAGCGTAGTGCTGAGCCATTCCGGTCTGAACCCACACCGCTTTATTAATATGCGGTAACCTCATCTGTCCTTGGACTAGCAATCTCGCGCTCTGTCGGTTACCGAGGGAATCGTCTCAATCTGCCAACAACGTGACAACAGCTATCAGTCGAGCTAGCTGTGTGTTCGTTGAAACCAATCCTGGCAACGGGGAGGAATCAGAACGTGGGGTGCAGTGGTTTTCTTACCTTAGAAGGCGGCTCAGGATATCGATCGACATGAGCTGGTGCAGATCTAGTAGACAGGCAGGTCAAATCAATAGCCTGGGTGTAGCTGTTTCTTATGCTCTACATCGTGCCCGGGGGGGGGGGTGTAACTTATTTTCTAAGACACGTCTTCTGCTTGAGTAGTGTATCCACAGCGCAAACTAAAAACGCAAGGCATTCGGAAGAGTTATAGTAATAGCGGAACATCCATGATATAGTTTCCAAGGCTGCCCCATGTGTCTGTCCTACAAGATTTCTACTGTGCCGTGGTGAAGGCAGTGATTCATGTGCCTGTCGCAAATCCACGCGGTGCGCTTCGACGGCATTCCGTCGTCGAGGTACCGGACCTTGTGGAGTCCGAATAGGGCGGGGATGTTCTTGTCCTTCATGTAGTAGATTAGCCAGTCCTCGGCTGTATTTATCTCCTCCGCCGTGAAGGAGAGCCGCCCCGTCACTTCAGGCCACTCGTCGGTGGCTTCTTCATCAGGAGTGATGCCCATGAGGCGCATGCGTTGGGGTTCGGTGATAATTGTAGAGAACCCACCAGCTGCCGTCTCACTGATGCGCAACAGGGTAGAGATGAGCTTCAAACCCCAAAGCATGTGTGGGCGGACGCTGCGAACCGATTTCTCGTCACAGCGCATGATTCCGCCGACTTGGGTGTCGATCATATGAATGCCATCGCGGTGCTCGCACATGAGATGGAGTTTTCGGGAGTAGGACCCTGGAGTCAGTCTTGTGACAAGACGCTCGCTGTTCACAGAATCCCCACCCGTGGTGAGGTAGACGAGATGCGGAACTTTGGCACCTTGCAAAAGAGGTGGAAAATCGATGACATTGTCGATATCACGTGACAATTCCGGGAACAGTTTCTTCTGAAACACGTTGATCTCCGTCCTGCGGTCAATGATTCTTGATTCGAGGAGTTGTCCAGCCATCTCCACCGGGCGAGGCAGGAGAGAGACAGCTCGTCCAATGCGGCGTGATGGAGGTGGCGTCAGAGGATTCATAGGGCTCCTAATCGAGTCCGTCGTTTTTAGCGACCTCTTGCGACAGACCTCAGTATCGATTCTCTCCAGAGCATCGAGATATCTGTTCAACACATCTTCCCAGTTCGCGGGTCCGAGCAAATCCTCTGCCCTGTCAGCCTTCAATCCATGGCTCTCCTCCATATTCTTCTTCCAGATAAACTCATAGTCTAAGCTTCCAGACGCTAGTACTTTCTGCTTCAAATCTTCCACTCCTATGCACTGATCTTTAGTCCTCTTCTTGCGCATCCACAGCTCCCTTACACATTGCGGTCGCATGATTTCAACAATCAAAACAACTCCTTGACACCCTTCCGTAGGAGAAGCACTAAACTCTCGCGTAGGTTTAAGGACATTTTCGTCTACTGCAGCCCACGTCTGCACAATATCTTTGGGGGTTCTAACGAGGATGTCCAATAGACACTCATCTGGCCCATGGTACTCAATAAGAAACTCAATCCCGCTGAAAACAAAAGAGATGAAATCCTTCTCGAATGTGTAGCACGCATCCGACACTCCGACAAATCTCCTCTGCAAGAAGACCTGCACAGCAATGAACATTCCCCATCATTCCCTGCGTCGAACTGGATGTGACATGCACAACTGAAAGAACGAATTTCTAACTCCACAAAATTAAGGAACCTCAACATCAATTTCTGAGAGAAAGATTCGGCTGGTACTTGAAGTCTGGGAAAGAATCCACGCGTTAGGGTCGTCAATTCCGGGTTCTCGCACTTCAACCTCCAGCCGACGTGTGTCAGATCGTGTTCAGAAACCTGGCCATAGCGGCAAGGCCAACTGAGAGGTCTTTCTCCTCTCGCAGCCTCTTCACTAGGTTTGTGCAACGCGGCGGGAATGTAGACTCCAGATGTTTTGTCGCCAGGGTTCTGTTCAAAACACAGGTTCAGCTTCACCATCAGCTGCACGAGATCCTCGGTAACCACGCCTTTGACCCTGCGCCCTTTGAAGTGTGGGTTCTTGTTCTTGCAGAAGGAAGCTTCAAGCACCTTCTTCAGATGCTCCCGCTTGGTGAATCCCTTTTGATCGATGAGCGGCTGCTTGAGGACTACCATGGAGCTATTAAGGTTAAGAATCCTGCCCATAATCTCGTGGCAGAACCAATTCGGGTCGACCACCATGAAGTCTAGCCCGTCGAAGAAGAGAAGTTCCCCGGCATCGTGCATGGCCCTCGCAACAGCCTTCTCCCGCTCCTCTGCAATCTTGATGTCCTGCCCTTGAAGACGCTTCAGCGCGGGCACCTTACTACAAAGGACACTGAAATCGGACCACTGAATGAGTGGCTTGTCCGGGTGCTGATTTTTCCACTCACCCAACTTTATTTGCACTTGCCTGCAAGCGTCAAAGACCTTTGGCACTCGATCAAGGATGCTCACGATCCGCTTCTGTATCGCCTTCTGCACAGGGTCAATGGATTTCCTTGACCTGGCATCCGCTACATGAAATTCAGTGACGTTGATCACCCGCGCGAATTGAGCTCGTAGCTTCTCCACTTGCGGCTTGAAGTGCCCAATCAGGTCGACTTTAGGAAACTTGTCAGAGTGCGTGAAGATGACGGTCACATTCGGCAGCATATGCACGGATTGGCGCGTGTTGGACGCTATGAACCGGAGCCAGTAGCGCAACTCCAGGTCCACGACCTTCTCGTCTTTCAGCTCAAATTTTCCGCTCTTCCCCTGCTGCGTCGAAATATCGCACAGAAGAACGAATGTGCATGCGCTTCCTTGAGAGCTCAAATTGGGGACGACAAGGTCGTGGAATGCGTGGAACTCTTCATGACCGGCAAGATCCCAAATTGAAATCTGTACATTGTCTTCTACAATCGTTTGCACTTCAATTCCGGCGGTCAGCGAATGCTTCGATCCCGCTTGAAGTATTTTTGAATTAGAGATGGCTTCTTTGAAAGCAGCCGAGGTTTTGAGACGCACGGAAGAGGAAGTTCTTTTCATGTTCCCGCACACCATTGTTTTTCGGAACGTCGTTTTACCTGCATTAACAAAGCCGAACAGAATTGAGTCACGGAAATTGAGTTAAATGCTGCAAAATCTTTGGCAAACACCGGCAAGAACATGAACCAACCTGCCAAGGGAACGCCGCACAGGAACACTCTAGCGGAGGTGGGTGTCACGGTTCCCATTCCCTTGAAAACTTCCATGAACTTCTCAGCGTTTCTACGCAACTGGGCCTTGATAACAGCGTCGTGGCCCTTCCGACAGAGAGGAGTGCCCTCAACACCCAATTGTTCAAGCCAGGGATTGGTAACCAGAAGGTCCAGGATAGTGGCCAAAACCTTCTCTCCGGCCACGCCATCGCAGCCTCTAAGGTCAAGGAATCTCAAAGTCTGGTTGTTTTTTAGAGCATGTAACAGCATAAGCACGTCTTTTGGTTGCCAGAGGCGGACACTGCATTGAAGGTCCAATCTGACGAGCGTCTTGTTCGTCGCCAACATATTTGCCAGAATAGGTGCTCCTGCTCTATTGATGTAGCTATGGCGGATGATGATCTCCCGGAAAGAAGTATTGGGCTGTTGCTTTGTGGCCGGATCCATGCTAATTGTCTTCACAATGTCCTTTAGACCATCCACATCTATGGGATTGTAGGACAGGTCAAGTACCTTGAGATTCTTGTTTGTCATGAGGGCTAGAGCGAGCGTCTGGACGCCGGAAGAGTCAATTGCACAGTTTTTCAAAGCCACTTCCTCCAGCGAAGAGTTACGGCACAGCACTGTTGCTATGTGCTCTGCTCCTTTGTTCCCAATTTGACCATCGCCGTGCGCACCATTACACTTGAAACCCTTAATCTCGAGCTTCTGGAGCGTTTGGTTTGGCTCCGCCCCGGAGAACGGCTTCGTCAAAACCGCCATTGCATCAGCATCGATTCTCGCGTACAGAGTGAGTCCTAGTAGGAAACGATTGCGTCGCAACGCGAGCGCTATGTTATCCGCAATATGGTTGCTAACGTCAATCAATCCCAACTGAAGCTCCGCGATCCCGGTATTAACAAGGAACATCTCCATGATGTGCTTCACGCACTCGGAATTTAACGCCTGCTGAAACCGATTGTCGCTGTACACACTCAGCTTCTTCAATGTCCGATTCTTCTGCAATGCAGTGCAAAGTTCCGCCACAATCATATCGGATGGTACACAATCAATCTCCAGCGTCAGAGACGAAACCGCAGGACTGGCCACAAGCCCCTTAATGACCCTTGAGAACACCTTGTGGTCGGAGTCATCACTCCGATCGGGTCCATCGAATCGATATAATAACCGACGGACAAATTTGTCGTCAGCAAGGGTGAGCGACACCGAGCAATTGTCACTCTCTGACTTGATGCGCGGGCAGTAGTGGATGTATAAGTCCACAATTCTTTCGGGTGGGTTCTTGATTGCACGAAGCAAGCCATCTATGTCAACCTCCGAGTACTTCTGCGGCTTGGGTCCTGATTCCTTCTCGATGAGCAGCATGGGGTTGTACAGAGACGCCTCTTTCTCTGCCTTGGGCGGCAGGGCTATTGAGCTGGGTGCGGCATTTGGTATCGCGCACGCATCGCTGACAGCATTTGAGAGACCCACCGAGGTGGTGCATGCAGGAGAATTACACATTGTGCTCAACTCTCTACTCAATCTGTGACCCTAATTCTATGAAAGGTATCGGTCAAAATTTCAGAGTCTCTCGTTAGCGACCTCAAGTGATTCGGCTAGTATTATTAAACAGATCCGTAGCGCAGCTGCATTCGTTCCCACAGGTAGAGAAGATACTACATCGATGAGGGGAGGGGGGGGGGTTGCGAAGCGCAAGGAGCTGGCTCCAATACCGACCTGATTGTGGCGAGGATTTTTGACCTGCAACATTCACATGTTCAAATATCCCCTAGACAACCATATGCCTAGCACAAAAACTGCATCCAACAAACAGCCTCCCTCTAACAAACAAAACATAAATGCCCCTGCGAAGAAATCGAGATTCGGATGGTTAACAGATAATTTGGAGTCTAGTATTGAAGGACTACCTGGTAGAGATCACACAACCAGCCGCACAACACCATCATACAAGACGCAAAACCTGATTCCACAAAGCCGATTTGAGATGATCGACTTCCTCATCCACGTCCTCAACGCTGCTTCCATTGCATGCAACTACACATAAGAAATTCGCTCCTCTTGCTCCACACGCTACCGACAACAATCTCCTCCTAGCTCACAAAAAAAGAGTCCGCCAGGCAGACGCAAACCAGCAGCTTCCACTAATCTCCTGCCCAGAATGCTACAAATCCAATCGACAGAGTAAAGCCTCCCAAGTAGATTCAGAATCGCCCCCGAAAAAAGCCTCTCCGGGGAGCTTTTCCTCCCCCAGAGCTACGACGCGGCTCCAGCCAACACAACTGCAGAAAACCTGGTAAGTATAAACTGGTTCTTCGATGGAATCAACGAGCTCACAAGAAGCACCCCACCATTGAGAGAAACACCTCCCAACACACTTTCCTTCACTGCGAGCCTACACTGGAAGCATGGGAACAATTATATCAAGCTCCATTCAGAGACTGATTGGGGTGCGAAACCTTGCGAATTATACACACACGAAATTTGAGGGATTCTTCTTGCCGTCATTAGCTGGGCAATTCGAAAGTTACCCAAGCACCACGGCTGGGTGGTGAGTCGGGGGGGGGGGGGGGGGGGGGGTTAAAAAAAAAAACCTTCGGTCCGTCACAGCGTCCTGGGGGCAGTCACAAACCACCTGATAGGGGTCGCCTCACGTGCATTACAGAGAAGCTGCCGCGGCGGAACAAACTGGAGGTCTGGCAAGGGGGCAATGAGATCGCCACATCCGACGGCCCACAACCATGTCAAACACTGCACATGCCGCCGATCTCGAAGTGGGTCGAAACGGTGTGGGTGCTAGAAAAAAAAAAAAAAGGGGGGGGGGTTCTCAGCCTTCCATTCTACCTTCTATGGAGCGACGCTCCGACGTCGCACTGGTCGCCATCGCTTGTTGCTGACGTGCAATATTCTATTATTTGGTCAACAACGCTGCTCATGAGTTGTCTCCCCAATATTTTCTGACCATGCTCCCCCACCTGTCTTTACCCCCCCCCCCCCTCCAATTGTTCTGCTCTCTTTTACCCACTTAGTTTGACACCATGTGGGCCCCGGTCTCCACATGAGCAACACCATTTTTCCACCCCGCGTCCTCATCCACCAGTTGCAGTCCCTGATTGTTTCCTGTGTCTACCGTCGCTCACTTACCGCTGTCGACAAACTACCGTTACTTCGACGTCACTGTAGAAGCTTCTACCTCCATCTGCTTGCTGCCTCTGCCGCCCTGCTAGAATGTGTGAGATTGTGTGGCTAGACAGACAGTAACAGTGTCTCACTTCGAATGCACGACCCTTAAACCTTTCGGCAAAGCTCTGAGATTAGGTCAACTGGTCTTCGTCCATCTGTAAGCAGTATAAAGCGAAACAATCATTCCGGGTGGAAAAAAACGAAAGCTATGCTTGCAAGCACCACGTCATGCAGATTGCGGCTCTTGTTGACGTTGGCGCCTTCTGCATGTGAGACAAACAATTGGCCTCTTTTCGGTTTTGTGGGTGGAGTGTTTCCGTCAGCTACATAATCTAGAAGGTTGTCTTTGATTTTGTGGATGTTTCTTTTTCTTTAGGATTATTCACTTTAATGCGTGTTTTTTGTGATAAGGTGAGGAATTAATGGACGGATCAGTGAACAATGAATGCACCAAAACAAAATTATACATGACCCAGTGCACGTACCAAATAAGAAAATGTTGATCTTCGATGCTTTTCACCTTTGGAAACAAGAGTGTACTTTAGATATATTCAGCAAAAATGGTGGAGAGAATAAGAAAGAATGAAGGTTAGTAGCTACTTGTGTCACTAAATATTTATTTAATGTAAAATGTAATATGTTAGGATTTTTGTGTTCCCCGTTAATTTTTTCGCATGATGTGCAGTGTCATTGCTTCGCATTGGACAATTTTAGAATCAGCAGGCACCTTTACTGTGAAATGAAACGACTCAACACTCGTGGCAGCATAAGATAAAACAATTCTTTTATCACTACTGCAATGTATTGTTTTTTAGGACACCGTACTCAATTATTGATAATAAATTAATCGTTCACTTTCTAAATTATGTAAAATGACGTTGCATTTGAAGAGTGGTAGACTATGTAAAATTATGTGTCATTAAAACCACATTATATTTGATGACAAATATGAACATTTAAGACGACAAAAAGTTAAAACTAGTATTAAAAAATTACTGCTCGTAGAAAACTTACTGACCGAAAGCAGGAGACTATATCTATCCAGTTTGAGATAATGTTTTGTCCATTTACCGTGAACAGAAAATTTACGTTCTACCAGGTTAGAGCAATTGGGCTCAAAAGTAGGGTTATGGGAGAAGAACAAGACTACCAACAGCGAACACCTCTCACCCATTAACACAAAATAGGACTGACTTTTGGAGTTCAAGTCAACCTTTCGAAAAGGCTGGTCTTCAGGACTTGTGTGGTAGTGGTTATGACCAGGAATAAGAAAAGCATATTTGGAAGGCTGTCCTACATTCATATCAACAGGTCATACATGATTTAAATGGTTTAAATAGATAAATAAACTAGCCAGAAAGAAAGATTTTGATTCATTTGTCGAAGACTTCTTGGATTTTTTTAGGGTGTTTACCAGTCAAAGACATTCTCATGAACTATGAAACAATGAAGCTACTCAAATAATTGTGAAGCAAATGTCATCAAGCACAAGAAAATTGTTGTCACCATCGACTTGAGCCTTAATGATTGAGAAAAATTGATAAGTCGTGAGTGCTTTGTACAGTAAAGCCAAAAAAAAATGATACATTCACATTTAGTACACAATTATGCAAGTTACTGTGGAATATGTAACTTGCATAATTGTGTACGTCTTGGTCCGACATTCACATCTTCCACAGTGGTGATGGTTTTGGCCTCAGACTGTTTGCTTTTGTAATGATTTTCGAATAAAATATTAATAAAACAACAGGGAGTATTGGGCAAGATCGATTGCTTCCGTAATCAACATGCAGATTCTTTCATTGCATCGATCAATTGCTTCAAAATGGAGAACGCAATGTCAAACAGAGAGATTTGGACCTCTCAAAAGCAGGATCCGCTTGACACCGAGAGCACGAAAGCCACTACCACCGCGTGGAAAGGATGCGAGACCTAGGACTATCATGGTTCGACCCATAGCTGACCTCGTCCACGGGCGATATTAAACAACGACGCAAAACTCGAAAATCAGAACTGGGGCCCCAGATCAGCCAAACAGCATTGATCGCAGAGAATAAGCGCTAACACATCCAAGTCCAAAGCCGTGTTATCGACGCATCATTAGGTGTAATCAGTCAATGAACAGAATCAAACAGATCTTCGTGGAAGCAGTAAACCCGTCGTTGGAAGCTGAAGCACGGCGAGATCAGGTTAATGCAATGAAGGGAATACTTGTTTCCAATGATTGGGTTCCAAGCATGCAGTCAATGTCAAGCATGGGACTATGGGTCACGTTCCGTCTGTGTGAGCTAGAGTGTGAATTTGACTGGGTGCGGTAAAAGCGTAAGCGAGGATTTGTCGTCTCCAGCGGAATAGGACTTTCGAAGCCTTGAACCTGTCACGCTGTGATGCAACACCAGACGCGGCGTGGGCTGCAATTACACTTCATCGCAGTGGTGGCCGCATTCCACACCGCGAAGCACATTGTTTTTCTATACTAAGCCTCCTGTCCCGAGTTCCAGGATCGGGACATCGGATCTAGCAACATCGCGCGGCATCTAGATTCTGCCCGATGCACAGTGGTGGGCCAATTCAACCACCTCGTAGATGCATCGCAGCCATCAGATGAGGCCCATCCGCCAGTCGGTCGCCCGCTGCTCTTCAGCTCCTGCCGAAACGACCCCTTCTATCTTCAGCCATCGCTGTTTCTGGACAGACCTTCGCCGCACAGACCCATCACTCTTTCAACAGCACATAATGTTGCTGACAAAAAACACAAACCGGGACCTCCGAAACCCACACCGAAGCGTCCTTCAACCAGATTGGAATACTACGTCGCATGGTCGGTCTGAGAAACGATCGATCTATGTTTCCTGGAATGAGTTTCATTGCCACAACTTGCATGCGTTAGAGATGTGCTCAGATCTCAAGGTTTTTTTCAAAGAAACCGCAGGTTTTTGCGTTCTCATGTTCTTTTTTACAGTCGTCTATGTTTTGCTTGATTCCTCCGTGCGTTGTTCGGTTTCCGGCGCCTCTCGACTGGAGTTACTGACACAGTGTCGCCCAGGTTTTTAGTGATATAGAAAGCTGAAGCTGCTATTATTATTGTTACCACTACTACTATACTTGCTGGAGTATCTAGAACAAGCTACATGAGCAGATAAAACAGCTGTCCTAGTGTGCATCTTGGTATTGGATGGGTGAGGATGACAAGGCGCTAAGAAAACTGGCACCCATTTGGCACATTCTCTCTCTCCCTGTGGAGACCCCACTTGGCTTCAATATTAGTGCTGTGTGTGTTTGTGGTTTGGAAAAATAGGATAAAATAGCATAAATATGGTGACGGTGAGTGTGATGCCAATTTTGTTTCCACTTCAGCCATTGATTAAAGCAAAACTCTGATATTTCCCTGGAGCAGGAGGTGCCGGAGCCAAGTGTATCTCTGATGTGGCAAGTGCATGTTCATTTACTTTAAAGTGCCCATTAATTAACATATTTAAAGTTAAATTTAATAGGGTTAGAGATCTTGTGGTGGGAGGGGGAGGAGGATCATCTCAACCAGTGCGTGACGTTTTCAAAGGTGTTCATTGATTTTTTAAATTGATATCATTGTGAGTGTTTCTTTTTCTTTTCTTTTCTTTTTCTATTTTCTTTCTTTTTTGATTGATTGACTCTAGTATGAGTACCGCCCTGACTAGTCGTAGTTTAGTTGATCAGCTCACCATTCATTGATTATTTATCATTTTAAGTTTTGTATAAAAGAAAGCTGGTTCCTTCATCCTTTGTTGTGTACAGATCTAAATAAAGATGTGGCTGCCTAAACAATTAGTTTGGTTATTATTATTAAAAAAAAAATCAAAAAATTCAAAAAATACAATGATAATAAAAAATCAAAAAATCAAAAAATTCAATACTAAACATCAATAAGGTTGCATGTAAAGAGTAGTGAGTAGAGTAAGATTACTCTTACTTTCAACACTCTTAATTTATAGAAAGGAGATTACATCTGATATAAATACTCTTCATTTATAATCATCTTCATTTTATTATGCATTATTCAACCAATTCCTATTATATTTTTTTTACCTATGTGCTACTTAAAACCCTAGCTACTACTATAATAACTTATCTTAATTCTTTGATGTCTTTTGATCATTAGTAACTTAATAAAGTCAAATTCCAAATAATAGTAATTAAACCAAGGTTTTTTAATTATCAATTGTCATGGATATATATACATTCTCTAATAAATATCTATATGATTAGATAGAAATAAATAAAAGTAAATAAAAATAGATTAATTTTAAAATACCTTTTAGAGTAGCTTCTTAGAAGCTTCATAGATGCTACTTTGACTTTATATGTGTTTGTAATTGATTGATAGGTTAGAAACTTGG